AATGTTGTCATGCCATCAAAATGCATATATGACAGTTTATTAAATGCAGATGGAACTCACATAAAACTCATATTGACACTGACCTTGTATTTTTTATAGTATACCTATTTTATGTGTCATAAATGTTGATGATCTTCTCTATAAATATGAAATTTATAGTTTAATTTACATATTTTAAATGACAGAGGGATTACTACAGTGAGAGTTTTTTTTAACCTACTACAGTTAGAGTTTTACTCGATGATATTTGATGGTGAGATAAATTCGAGGCACGGATGAGTTTGTGTATTGAATATTCGGGGTGCTCGAGTAGCTCTCAGCGCTCGAATTATGTGGCCCAAGGTTCTATATGGCCCAAAAACGAACTTAGCCCTTCAAGGGCCAGCCCATAATAAAATAGCAACCAGGTCCAAAGCGAGCCCAGTAAAAGCCCATACACAACCAGGGCGAACCGCCTCATGGCCGCCCGTTGCGGTCCGCCACGTACACGCGTTGCCTTCACAGCCCATTATCCTTAGCCATTGCGGGCCCCACGCGCCACGTTTCGATCCCCCGCGTACCGGGCCCAACCATGACACGCCTCTTCTCTCCATTCCTTTTCGTCCCCATCGCGCGACACGATCACACCAAGGAGCCGAACGGAACCGAGGGGGCAGAGAACGGGAGGGGAATCCAGAGACGCCTCATCCGAGCTCCGAGCCTTATCGATGGCCATGATACTGCGCGCGGCGGGCAGGCGGCTTCTCGGCGTAGGAGGCGGCGAGGCTGCGCCGCCGGCGCCCGCGGTCGCTGCTGCGGCGGCGGCGGTGGGCAGGAGCAGAGGGTACCACGAGCGGGTGGTGGACCACTACAACAACCCGCGCAACGTGGGGTCCTTCGACAAGGACGACGCGGACGTCGGCACGGGGATCGTCGGCGTGCCGGCGTGCGGGGACGTCATGAAGCTGCAGATCCGCGTCGACTAGGGGTCCGGCAGGATCGTCGACGCGCGCTTCAAGACCTTCGGCTGCGGCTCCGCCATCGCGTCCTCCTCCGTCGGTGAGCAGAGCCAGCTTCCTATTCCGTGTCGCGCAGGAGTAGATTGTTCATGCAAAATTCGTGATTATTAAGTCACGACACCTTTCTTCTCTGCGGTGATAGCGACAACAAAGAGAAACCGTAGCTGATCGTGATAATTAAACTGGAAAATTAGGACGGGACTAACAGAGTTGGTAAAAATAGATAGCTAAACTCGTAATTTAGCCAACCTTTAAAATAGAAACCTCAGCCAAAAAAATAGAAAACTCCAACCGTCTTTTTAATAGAGTGAGGCGAATGGCTAGCGGCATATGCAAGCTATATCTAGTATGCGAAAATTTCGGGATACATGACTTGCTATTTTATAAAGGTAGATACAATAGTTATTGGACTCCAAGGTTTAAAATAGTGGGCTATTGTAAATAGCGGCATCTTTTTTCCAGAAGCTATAAAAGCTATAGCGCAGCTATAGCGGAACTACGACAGATAGCGGTTTTTAAGAAAACCGTAAAAAAATCAAGTAATTATTTCATAAAAACACAATAATCGTGAAAATTACTGAACACAAATATGTTTTCAAGGCTTTAGGAGTCTAGGGAATATTATTTAATATGGCATTATAGCACAATTTGTGAGACTCAAGTGTTCAATTTTCTAAAAGATCAACTTAACAGTAAAAGATAAATATATAATAAGTAGATTGTCACTCTAAAAACTAAAGTTGAAATAGCAGCGCTATTTTAAAGTCACAGCTAATCAATTTAGCGACGTTAAAGCATAATATAATGGTTATAAATGATATAGCGGAAAAATAGAAATAGCGTAGCGGGAGCTCTCTCCAGAGGCTATAGCGGCGCTATAGCGTTGCTATAGCCCGCTATTTAAATCCATGTTGGACTCTCGTTTTTTTTTCTAAAATAGTCAAATATAGATTACACAACATGGATAGCTCTTCTGTTGAAGCACATGGTCAGTGTAGTTTCCGCGGGACGTGCAGATTTTTTCCTGTCTTAGTAGTCTTAGTAGAAACTGCAGGGTTTTTTTAAAAAAAAGTACTTATGTTTTATAGATACATGGCTTTAAGGGGCTATTACGTTCTTGCCTCTACTTGGACGTCCAGTTGTGATTTTACCCCTGCTTTTGTCATCGTTGTGATTTTACCCCTGTTTTTTGAAAACTAAGCTTAAGTTTATCCTTATTCCGTGAACAGCGGGTAACGGTGTCAACTGGACTCAGTAAAGACAAGTTTACCCATGTGAAATTGCCCCTACTTATCTGAATACGTTGTGATTTTATCCCTGTTTGGCAAACAAATCACATCACCAAATACACAGTTAGCTAAATCGATGGACCGACAAAAACTCATTCTTCCTAAATATTGATCCTAATTTTCCTACGGACCAAATCACAGGAGCTGGACGCGATGCCGCACGTGAAGTTGCCGCCGGCGGCGAGGAACGGAAGGAGATCCCGGCGCGCCGGCTCTGACAGGTGGTGGTGGCCCCCGAGGCTCCAGCACACCGCGGTGTGGTTGGGCGCCGGGAGCGCTGCACGCGTGGGAGTCACCGACGGCCAGGCCGTACTCGAAGAGGTCCCTTGGCAGCGCGCCGACGGTAGAGGTGTTCGCCGCCGCGCCGACGTCGTCCGTGCCCGAGCAGAGCGCGGCGCCGGAGGCGAGGACGGTGCATGCTCGGAAGCCCCCCGCGGCGAGGTACGTCGCGGTGGTCGCATTGGCGAGCCCCGCATGCACCGCGCTACCCTGCGGGCCCCAACATTGGATGGTCGCGGACGCGTTGGTCTCGACGAAGGACGAGACCTCCCTGGATCCGCTGTCGGGAAGCGCGCCGGCCATGGATCCACCACGGGAGGGGGTGGGGGCGGCCGCCATGGATCTAGCCGCCCTCCACCGGATCCAGCCTCGGGGGGGTGCGGCCGCCATGGATCCGGCCGCCCTCCACCAGATCCAGTCGCCAGGGGCGCGCCCACCATGGATCCGGCCGTCCTCCATCGGATCCAGCCGCCGGGTGGCACGCCCGCCATGGATCTAGCCGGATCCGAGGTGAGGGAGAGGGGTTGCGCCGCCCGCTGATGGAGGAGAGTCGCGCTCCTTACCACCGGTGGAGCCATGGAGGTAGGGGAGGAGGGCGGATCCATGACACCACCCGCTGCTGCTGCTGCTCCGTGCCGCCGGGAGGGGCTGAGCCGCCCTGCGCCCTGCCCGACGCTGGATCCGGGAGGAGCCACCGCCGGGAGCTGGGCCCGCGCTCGTGGCAACCGCGCACCACCGCTGGGAGCCGTCGTGGGGGAGAGTGGAGGAGAGAGGGAGGGTTGGGGAGGGGGCGCGTCGGGAGGGGAGGGGAGGGGAGGGGGCGTGTCGGGCGCCGGGAGGGGAGGGGAGGAGACCGGATGGAGAGAGGATGGTAGAGGACGGGGATTGGAAGGGTACGAGCGGATAAGGGTATTGTCGTCCTTTGGTCTTACTATGAAGGGATATAACTGACAGAGTTGAAAGTAAGGGTAAACTGAGGCTTAGTTGTTACAAAACAGGGGTAAAATCACAACGACGACAAAAACGAGGGTAAAATCACAATTGGACATCAAAGTAAGGGCAAGAACACAATATTCCTTGGCTTTAATTGTGTATTTAAACATAGTGTAATTATATACATAATAGAAAAATAGAACAACTTATAATTTGAAAACGAATGGCATCACATTGGGTTTCATTAACAATTGGGGCGCTACTAAATGTTGAGATGAGTACCAGAGTCACAATTGTGTTTCTGTGGTAATCACTTACTATTTAGTAGTAGTCCATAGTTATGGCATTGACTGACTAAGTTCTTTGTTGTGGTTGAAGTCTCTTGTGAGCCTGTAAGGCGTCCTGGTTCATATACTCTGAAAAATAATAATAGGAAGATAATGAACAAAAAAAACTTCATATGGTGTTCAGAACTTAGATCCATTGTGAACAAAAACCTTGTTCGCTGTGTCGGTCTGCCAGGTGTTCAGAACTTAAATTTTCTAAAAAAAAAGAAGGTGTTCAGAACTTAAATCCATTGTGAACAAAAACCTTGTTCATATGGTTGATTAGTTTACTAGTGCCAGGTGTTCAGAACTACATATCTTTAAAAAAAAATAGAACTGGTAGGTGCAGTGCCTTTTCATTTAGTAGATAGCAAAGTCTGAAAGAACTACATATCCATTTTGAGGTAAAAACAGTAAGGGAATATCTTAATATTGCTGTAAAAACTTGGGCCCACTAAACTAATAAAAAAGAAAAAAAAAAAAGCGGCGCTTGCACCTCCGACCTTGTGGTTAGCAGCCACACGCTCTAACCAACTGAGCTATTCCAGCTATGCACAATGTGGGTTTACTTATTCTTTTGGCAATTGCATCCACTTCACAACTTTAGTTTATGCAGCTTATGTGGAGCCACCATCAATCTTATATTCAACCAAGCAGGGGTGCTGATTTTGCCATAACGGTCATACTTTTGGTGATTTAGCTAATATAATATTGTGGTTTTACAACTAACAATGTTGTTACCATAATTTATAAGTTATCTATTTGGGTGAATTATGCACTTGGATATGACCCTTTTAGACTAAAGAAGGTCACAAGGTTAAATGACTGTATGCTTATATTTTGCAGGTTATAATACTACTTTTTACGCTCAGTGTTTTGTATAGCGCATGTCGAGCCTAGAACAGTAGAACTCACACTACTAGGTATCGATGCTCAGTTGCCATGCCATTTCGTATCTGCGTTTGGATGGCTCAACCTCCACACAGCTCACCGTGCAGAAGTCTGCCATGCCATACCTGCTTAGTTTTTATTTTACTGACTTGATTTCATCCATCAGTGTTTTTTTCCTCCTAGCATTTTTTCCTTATAATTTTATACCCATTTTTTGAATATATAGTTGGTTCCTTATTCATTTCTGCTGTGTTACAGCTACCGAATGGGTCAAGGGCAAGCAAATGGAGGAAGTAGTAGCGATAAAAAACACGTAAGTTATGAATCGGCCTGGAATTCGTCGTCCCATTCCATATTTCTTGGAGTTGTACTGATACATCTGTCTACGTCTTTCCATTTTTGCAGCGAGATTGCGAAGCACCTGTCTCTTCCACCGGTAAAGCTCCACTGCAGCATGCTCGCTGAGGATGCAATCAAGGCCGCCGTGAAGGATTACGAGGCAAAGAAAGGGAAGCTGGCCAAGACAGAGGAGCAGGACATCCCATCCCCATAAGAGCGCAGCTACCTCGAGCGAGCAGAGTAGTACGTATATATAACGAGCGAGGAACTCATGCGCCAAGAGAGCATGTATATATAAGCTAGGTGGCTACGATGTTTGGGTTTCATCGAATAAGCGAACTTGCTGCAGTGTGGTTCTGCACATAAATAAGGTCTGCCCCTTGCCCTTATCTGCTTAGTCGGAGCATGCATGCTTAGATTGAGTGAGCAATGTTGTTGAGATCAGGGGTCCGGCTTTGACTTCTTGCCTCTCTTTGCAAGAAGCTCTGACAAACGGCATCTGTTACGACTCCTTGCGAGGAGCCCGGAGGAGCTAAGAACATTTTTTTATACAAAAGTTAGAGCCGAAAAAAGTGCTACAAAATTGTGGCTGGAGCCATTTTTGTTAAACATTTTCTAATATAACTCTATCTCCATCAGAGAAAGCTGTTCCACGTTGAAGAGCTAGGGTCGAGCCATTTTTGTTGGGGCCCAGGAACAACATGGGAAAATGGAGGTAGAAAACGGAGGATTCAGAAACATAGGAATTTTGTACTTTGTACGTACTTTGGATGAACTACATAGGAAAAATACAGGATGTTTGGATGAACCACATAGGAAAAATACAGGAAACAACAGTACGTAAGTTAATTAGAAAAATAACTATGATCTTATCTCCAAAGAACAGTGTTACTATTTCTATTGAAAAATAAAGAACAATATTTATATATAAAAAAAAATCTAAGCCAACCTTGATCTTATCCATCCCTTTCTAGACGCATGTATTTCTCCCCTCTCTCTCTCTCATCGCTTGCCGTTGACTTTGACTTGCAACTCAACCGTGTAGCTGACGGATGACGTGGCGTCACTTGAGCTTCTCTTCATCCAAGCACAGGTTGACACATCTGGCTGGGACGTGCTGACATTGCATATCCTTGGAATGGCTAATAGGCATATGCCTCTCTCCACTCCTCAAGATTCAGGCTAAAACGAATCCCCAGCACCCTGACACCTGATAGAACTCTTTGTTTGTTCTACTGCTATGAACTCACACCAAATTCTCATTCATTCTCTGGGCAAACCTTTTTCTTCAGATAAAGATTCTCTGGGCAAACTGAACTAGTATACTGACACGTAGCGGCATGTCGGATCCTTAAATTTGCCATGGCCAAAAGGGGCACGCTTGCAAAGATGCAGACCCCTGCACTGCAAGTCTGCAAGATCCAAACCTCCCCGTCCACACTATCTAACCGCAGCCTTTAAGCTCACTCCAAGCATATCCATGCAGCCAGGGCGCCGCAAACAAATAAAAGCCGCCGTGTGCACGATCACGGGCTGTGCTGTGTGCTGGCCAGATTGAGGAAAGGAATTGGATCCGAAGCAAGCAAGCAAGCTAGCACTAGCAGGTAGTATAGGACTAGCAACGAGCGATGTCGTCCTCGACGACGGCGGCGCCACTCTTCCCCGCCGGCGGCACGCGCCCGCTGCAGCAGCAGGCGCCGTCGCTGGCCGCCGGCGACGGCGGGTCGTACACGCCGGTGTTCGTGGTGCTGGGAGTGATCGCGGCGCTGCTGGTGATCTCCTGCCTCGTGGGGCAGGTCTGCACCAAGAAGTACTTGCTCCCCCGCCCGCGCAGGGACCGCGTCGCCTACTACGACGACGACGGCATGGAAGGCGGGTTCGGCCTGCCTCACCACGGCGGCATTGCCAAGATGGAGGCGTCCGCGCCGCCGGCGTCGTCGGTGGAGACGCGGGCGGCCGGTGGCGCCGCAGCCGCCGTGCAACAGACTGCCGCGGCGTGAAGGTAGCCAGGTGATATGAAAATGATGCCTCTGTACGTACGATAGTTTGTAGCTATGGCTTCTCCTCAGGTTGTTTGCTAACTTCCCTGATGTGCATATATAGTCTTGAAATCCTTGTATGATGGAAAAGAATTGGTCTCCACGACTGTAAAGATGGAATTGTCGTTGTGAAAATACCTTGTGAATGGAATACAAATCAAAGCATGCATATTGCAGAGAGAGAGAGAGAGAGAGAGAGAGAGAGAGAGAGAGAGAGAGAGAGAACACTAGTGCAAAATTGTTCTTCATTTTTCTTTTAAAATGGAGCGGCCCGAAGCATAGCGAGTGCATGTTTGGATGGAGGTGTGGTAAAGTTGTTTGGCCATGTAATCTTCCTGGGCGTCCGATTTTGAACACTTTGTAACTATGATCGATTGTCTGTCCAGACAATATCTCTGAGAGACTTTCCTTCAAAAATATCTCTGAGAGACAACGATCCAAGCGTGCATGCGAAGACGAGGCGTGGATCGATAGAGTAGAGGGACCGGAGCCCAGGTATAAAGATAACGATTCTCTCTCCTCCCAAAAAAAAAAAAACACAGCAGACATTTAGGTATATACTCCCTCCGTTCCAAATTACAAGTCTTTAATTTTTTTTTGATACATCTATTTTACTATGCATCTAGATATGATAATATGTCAAGATACATAGCTAAATGGATAAAACAAAAAAGTCAAAACAACTTATAATTTGGAACCGAGGGAGTACATTGGTACATGTCGCTAATTTCATTTGTAGGCCAACTCATGGATTGACATGCTGGAAATTGTAAGAGGTTAGGGATTAGAGAGGTGTTTCACAAATCAATCAACTCGATTATAAGCTAAATCCTGACACTATATAAGACTACTCATAACAATCATTTTTCTATGCAAAAATCTAATGGATTGTGAATGCACTACAAGATAATAGCTTAAAGCAGTATCAAAATTATGTGTCAATACATGAGGTTAACACCAATGTACTTGTTCAAATTAGCGGCAAAACCTTGGTTAGAGACAGAGGATAATATTTTGTATAAGAGACTATGACTATTAAAACTATATGGTTGGGACGACAATCTAATTCTTTTTTAGGAAAAAACGAAATAAATTAAACTTGAATCAATGCAAATTTTTAATAACTGCACGAGAAACTAAATAATATGCACGAGAAACTAAATAATATGTCATAAAACATCAAAAATATTTTAGAGGGTCAATTAAACTAATTCATCTGGACGTGTGCTACTGTAGCACCATGTTTTTTAGCAAAATTTTAATAACCACACGAGAAATTAATCCGCGAGACGAATTTATTAAGCCTAATTAATCTGGCATTATCATATGTGTTACTGTAGCAACACATTGCCAAATCATAGACTAATTAAGCTTAAAAGATTCGTCTCGTAAATTAATAATAAACTGTGTAATTAATTATTTTTAATCTATGTTTAATACTCTGTGCACTCGTCAATCCGTCGATGGGATAGAGGAACTAAACAAGGCCCGGCCACGGCGTTGCCAACATGGAAGGCGTCCCAGCAACACGTACGGGCCTCTGCTGCACCAGATCGCTGAAATTGATTTCTTCGGAATTCAGATACCACAAGGACGGTGATCGAGAAGCAGAGCACACAGCACGCTAGTCGCCACTGGGATGGAGATTGTCAGATGGATGCGCACCTACTCCACCTTGCCGGTCATCCAGTACTGACTACTACTGAGACCGCGAAATTTTGAGCGTGTTTAGTCTCACGAGGTTGGAACTTGGGGTTACTGTAGCACTTTCGTTTTTATTTAGCAATTAGTGTTCAAACATGGACTAATTAGGCTCAAAATGTTCGTTTCGTAATTTTCTACCAAATTGTGCAATTAGTTTTTTTTTCGTCTACATTTAATACTCCATACACAGACCACAAACATTCGATGTGATAGCTACTGTAGCACTTTTTAGAATTTTAGGTTGGAACTAAACATGGGCTTTATCTCCTTTTAGTTTGACTGACAGGTAAGGCAGGCAGAGGAACACACCACAACAATAACATTACTTGTCGTATATAAGCACACATTTTAGGCAGAAATGCACATGAATTCCAGGCAATGCAAGACACGTAACCATTTTAGACTTTCAGCCTGTTCGCTTGTTGTTTCAACCAGCTCAAACCAGCTAGCCAACAGTATTTTCCTCTCACAAAAAAACCAGCACCAGCACCAACCAGCGAACAGGCCCTTTAATTACTAGACAGCACCACACACACGACCTAGATCTGGATCTGATGACTTGGCAGCAGGCAGCAGGCAGCAGGCAGCATGCACGGCACAAGCCCCTGCTTGAATCTTGATCCTTCTGCAAATGCCTGATTACTGATTACTGGTATCACTAGCTACCAAGCTACTCACATAAATTATGTACTAAGTACTAACAATGTAGTGTTATGTTGATCTCTCCACCAACTTGGCCCAACGGCCAATTGGACCCATGATCCGCGCCATGATCGAAGGCGCCCAACCGTTCTATGGTTAGTGGGCCACCGTCGCACAGCGCTATAAAAAGGACGGTGGGGGCCGGGGCACAGGGCACGAGGTTCACCTGCGCCGCTAGAAACCCCACCTACATACTAACCCTAGCCGATCTAGAGAGGGGACGCCGCCAACGACGAGAAGCACCGCCACCGGCCACCGCTGCCACTGTGACCGCGCCTTCACTGCCGGACTTCACCGCCTCACACACAAGCACCGCAATGGCCAGCTCGTCTTGTGCGAAGGCGGCCGATGGTTTGTCACCCCGCATCTCTCTCTGTTTGCTCGCACTAGATTACGTTCTAGGGTTTACTATTTCATTCCAATGTCAGTTCTACATGCTAGATCTATGTCTAGTGGATCATGTTAGTACTATCAATGGTATCAGACGTCGAACTAGGCGTAGATCTAGCTCTTGGAGTAGATCAGAACAAGAAAGTAGAAGGAGGGGACTCGATTTGCCAATCGGTTCGAAACCCTAACCCTGACCGCAAGAGAGTAAGGACGAAGAAGGGGAGGACCAACCCGGACTCCCCGCCGCGCGTCGCCACCGCCGTCGCGTGGGAAGAAACCCGCCGTCACGCGGGCAGACTGGGCTGAGCCACCGCTCGACGCTGGGTTGCCGGCGCGCGGGCTCAGGGCGCCGACGCGAGGCCACTCGATGGCGGGCGCG